AAGTGAGTCCAAAAATTATTTTGTGTGTCAAATGATGTACACGAAAAAATATTTGAAAAAATCAAAATAAATATTTGATAAATGTTTGACACACTTTTTGTAACTGACTCAATAAAACTATTTTAAACAGTTAAAAAGATTTTTCAACGGACTCCAAAAATAAATATATTTTTTATTTTAACTCTCATAAAAATAATTTTGGAGAGAAGATATTTTTGTCATCCTTACAATAATTCCTAAGACTCAAATAAATAAAAAGTCTTCGGAAATCTTTTGCTCCTCCGAGTCCTCCGTTAGGCACTTCGAAAGCGTCTCGGACTTCAACAAAATCCTGTGCACCTTCTTGAATACTTCAAGGAATGGCACTTCAAGTCTTCGTGTTTGTCGTTGTAGCCCTTTAATCTTGACTTGAATAAATTGTGTTTGTCAATTATCAAAACCTGCGAGTCAACACTAAACAACACAGAAAGGGTTGAACTCATGCATTCCAACATGGAGGGTTTATTTACAAAAAGGAAGAGAAGAAACAATGATGAGATGATCGTTGACATGAACACCACAGCTCATGATGCTGGACTTAATGATACGGCGGGTCCCAGTTCCCGGGCCTTCCGGGGCTAATGAGCGTCTTAAGTTGGAAGTGCCGCGGGCTGGGCAACCGGCGGACAGTTCAAGAACTCGTAGAGCTAGTCTCTACTAACATGCCCCACTTTGTTTTCCTCTCTAAGACAAAGTGTGTTCGCTCTAAAATTGATAGTGTTAAACAAAAACTTGGATTCGATTGTCTGTTTGCGGTGGATAGTGTTGGAAGAAGTGGCGGACTCGCACTTTTCTGGAGCAACCGGTGGTGTGTGAATTTGATCTCATACTCCAGAAATCATGTGGACGTGGCAGTCTCTATCGATGATGGGATCGAATGGCGCCTCATGGGTTTCTATGGACATCCTAGAAGAGAACAAAGGGAGGAAGCATGGAATCTTCTCAAATCGCTTAAGGCCAAGGCAGATTTACCTTGGTTAGTGATTGGGGATTTCAACGATATCTGTGTTGTGCATGAAAAAAAGGGGGGCAATCCAAGACTCCCGAATTTAATTGAGGGTTTGAATAATGCATTATTCTTCTGTGGTTTAGCAAATGAGACCATGGAGGGATATCGGTATACGTGGGAATGGAAGAAGGGAACTCTAGACTGGGTAGAGGAAAGACTTGATAGGGAAGTGGTCTCCCCATGCTGGAGGAGTGGAGGGATATGTTTCCACGCAGCAGGCTTGTTAACAAACTTTCACGCTGGTCAGACCATTCGGTATTAATCTTGCTTCTTCATGGAAGGGAAAACGTTGGTACAGGACATAGATTTAAATTTGAGAATGCTTGGTTACTGGAGGAAGCCTTCAAACCATTTCTTAAAGGTTGCAGGTCTGCTTCCAGTGGCAGAGCTTTCTCGGATAGGATTCATCTTTGTGGAGAGAAACTTGAAGATTGGGGCAAAAGCAAAAATGGAGACACCACTGGAAAAATTAGCCACTTGAGGGGAATTCTAGAGAGACTCCGCGGAGTTCGTAGCCCGGCAGCCATGACGGAAAGAATTAACATCACGAAGGAGATTGATTCCTTGATGGACAAGAATGATTGTTACTGGCGGCAACGAGCAAAACAACACTGGCTTAGTGAGGGAGACCGAAATACTCGTTTTTTCCATAATTATGCTTCGCACCGAAGGAGGAAAAACTATATTCGCAAGCTTAGGGACTTCAATGGCAACTGGCACGAAGGAAGCAATCTCACCAAGCTTGTGCTTGATTTTTACTTGGATCTCTTTGTTTGTGCTGGACCACGAGATGATAGAAGGCTGAGTATGGACCTCTTTTCAGGCTTAGGTCACTCAAAGGTGTCCAGAGAACAAAATGAAAAACTGTTAGAACCCTTCACTGAAGTGGAAGTGAAAAATGCTTTATTCGCCATGCACCCGGATAAGGCGCCTGGCCCGGATGGAATGAATCCGGCTTTCTTCTAGAAATGTTGGGACGTGGTGGGTACCGACACGACAACTTTTGTCTTAGACTGTCTTCGGAGGGGCTGTATTCCCCAAGGCCTCGGGGACGCAACATTGGTTTTAATCCCTAAGAAGAACAAGCCCGTCTCTGTTGGAGATCTTAGACCAATAGCACTCTGCAATGTGCTTTACAAGATTATTGCCAAAATGGTTGCTAACAGAATGAAACCCCTTCTACAAGAATTGATTTCAGAGAACCAGTCAGCTTTCCTTATGGGGAGACTTATCTCAGACAACATCTTACTGGCAGCGGAAGCAGGGCACTATTTGCGTCGAAAGAATGGTGCGACTAATGGTTGGGTAGGACTAAAATTGGACATGGCGAAGGCTTATGATAGAGTGAAGTGGAACTTTTTGGAGAGTATGCTTTGTTGGCTAGGGTTTGATGATGGATGGATACACCTTATTATGATGTGCGTGACTTGAGTCAGGTACATAGCTCTAGTTAATGGCTCCCTCACAGATGTTTTAAGCCCTTCGCAGGGCTTGAGACAAGGCGATCCACTGAGCCCCTACCTTTTTATTATATGTGCGGAGGGTCTTTCCCTTCTTTTGAGGAAAGCTGAGGAACAGAAACTCTTACACGATATCCGTGTAGCAAGAGGAGCTCCGACCATCTCTCATCTATTTTTTGCCGATGATAGCTTACTTCTTTTTAAAGCAACAATGGGAGAGGCTCAAGCTGTTCGGCAATGCCTTCATGATTATGAGCAACTGTCTGTCCAAAGGGTAAATTATCATAAGTCTACGATTTGCTTTAGTACCAACACTCCCACTGCCATTCAAGATTCTTTGCCAAATCTTTTTGGTGTTGAGAAAGCTGTCGACTTTGGAAAATATTTGGGCCTACCTTCTTTCATTGGGAGATACAAGTCTTAGACTTTTAATTTTATCATTGACAAGATTAGGATCCGAGTTGGAGGATGGGGCAAACGGTTTCTTTCAAAAGCGGGGAAGGAAATTTTACTTAAAACTGTCGCTCAAGCATTACCTCAATATGCAATGTGTGTTTTTCTTCTCCCCATTGGACTTTGCCACAGAATAGAAGGAATTATGAATCACTTCTAGTGGAGCAACAAAGGCTCAGACCCATCTGGAATTCACTGGCTTTCATGGCAGCGTATGTCAACACCAAAAAAATTTGGTGAACTAGGCTTCAGGAGGATTCGGGACTTCATTATCGCTATGATTGGAAAACAAGGTTGGAGACTAATGGTCAACCCAGATTCCTTGGTGGCGAGAGTCTTTAAGGCGAGGTACTACTCAAAAGGGGACTTCCTGAATGCGGGGCTTGGCTCATCACCGAGTTTTGTGTGGCGGAGCATTTTAGAAGCCCGAAATCTTATAATTAACGGCATAGGTCGACGGATTGCGGACGAACGAGATACTCTAATTTGGGATACTCCTTGGATCTGGGACAAGGACAACCCGTTTATTACGTCTTCAAAACCCCCTTTTTGTCCAAACTTTAAAGTTTCTTATCTAATTGATCCGGAAACTAATGCATGGAAAATGGATGTGGTGCGAGAATGGTTCTCAACCGAAGATGCAATCCGAATTCAACGTACTCCATTGTCTCTCTCTCGCAAGGACTGTTGGTATTGGAGGGCGGAAGCACATGGAAATTACACAGTGAAGAGTGCTTACAGGAGGCTATGCGGGGAAGCATCGCAGTAAGAGAGTTTCGGCCAGTGGAATCGACTTTGGGGACTGCCCATCATACCCAAGGTAAAAAATTGTGTGTGGAGGTGCTTAAGGGGTGTTTTGCCTATGGTGGTAGCTCTTAGAGCCAAGGGGGTTGCTATTGAGCCTAACTGCCGCATCTGTGGGGCACCGGAAGAATCAGTGGAGCATGTTTTCCTTTTCTGCCCTTTTGCTCAGGCTACTTAGAGACTCCTACACAGAGAGATCGACACAGGTATGCACGAGAACTTTAATAATTGCTTGGTGGCTGTTTTTGGATCGACGTCGGCTATCGGTGGGGCAGTGATGGCTGCGGGTATTTGGGCTATCTAGAAAGCCCGAAATCAGGCCTGCTGGGAACTCAAGGTGGTCAGACCGGAGGTTGCTGCTGATTGGGCACGAGAAGTATGCGGGGTTAGGACAAGTCGTGACGTTCATGGTGGCACGATGGTGATGTCGGAGGGGTCGGGGCTTCAGCAGTTGAACCGGTCGGATCTCCTGCGCTGCTTTGTTGATGCGCCCATGTTTGAACAGGATGGTTCTACATCAGTGGCGGCAGCCCTTCTTGATGGGGTCATCGGGGGCTTCAACAAGCTTATGACCTGTCCCTTAGTACCGAGGTATGTAGAAACTTTAGCTATTAAGGAAGCTCTATCTTGGCTCAAGGAGAAGAATATCCATGATGTCGCTGTTTTTTCTGACTGTGTTCAAGCAGTCCATGCTCTAAAGAATGACGTGATAGAAGCTCGGTCATATCTGAACGTTGTTGAGGATGATTGCAAAAAACTCACTTATTTCTTTAACTATGTTAATTTTTTTCACATTCCTAGACAGTCGAATTTGATTGCGCACACCCTTGTTAGATTGGCTATTAATGGGTGCTATGAATGGCATTCTATTCCCCCTAATGATGTATTGCATTTACTTTGATGAATGAAAGTGTTTGAGTTTTAAAAAAAGTCATATTTCATATAAGCCAAATCTTGTTGAAATTATAGGTAAAAACTAACACCGATTCAATGTAAAAAATCAAAATTTGATCAACATTTTAAGACTGAGTTGCATTTAAAAAAAAAATTGGACTAATAACCACAAGAGTAATTTTTATTCTTAAAATAACTGGACTAATAAAAGTAAGAGTAATTTTTTTTTATAAAAAAATGAACATATACCCCCATCCACAAATGATAAACATTTTTTTGGTCAAACTTTTTAAAATTTTAACCGCATATGACAAAAAAATAAATGAAATTTTCATATACACTTAATATCAATAGATTCATTACAGGGGAAAGAACTTGTGTAAACACAACAAAAAAAATACTGTATTCTTAAAACACGTAATGTGTTGCATTTGCAATAATCACAATATGAATAGAAATATTGTATTAAAATTATATCCTGTGAAGAAATAGTTTATTAAAATCATTTCCTGTGAAGAAATATTTTATTAAAATCATTTCCTGTGAAGAAGAATGTAAGGGAAATTTTCTAATGTTACCGTGAAATTAAACTACTTCAGGAGACATTGATGCCATCTTCACCAGCCACATACTTCTCATATACATCCATCAAAAGTTCTCGGCAAGGTACAACAGCGCCAAGCTTGATGCAAGCAAGAAAAGCACCCGATAACTTTCGATGGAGACTGTATGCTTCTTCGGGTGGGGGTGTCAGCCTATGCCTCAGCATGGTAGCCCCAAGATTGGAAATGCTTTGCATTATATTGTTAGACCGAAAATCGTACCCTCCATTCATTGAAAAAGGCAACCCGACAACAAAACCCGCCTGCAAATGTGCATCTATCATTATATCTGACTCTTCCCCTGTGAGAAACCCAAGCCTCTTTGACATCTCAATGACTGCTTCCCGGTCACTGTTCGCACAAGCAAGAACCTGTATAATGAAGCACCAGTCCCTCAGTATGTTATTTTACAGAATAATGTCTAACTTACAGTAAATCAAAGTTCTGACGTTTTAGTGAATCAAATTACTTGCACACCCTTACAAAAACTACGTGTACAACCCAAAAAAAGGCCAAATAATTCCAACTTGACAACTTTTATATTTCCTCACTCCCAAACAAGGTGTTGGATTTGTCCCGGCATGCTTATAAAAAATCTGAAGTGTGTGCTCCAGATTTATGCAGTGAGGGATAATATGAATCACACACCTCTTTCATTGAAAGGAAAGCATAAATCTTATTTTGGGAATATTTGGCACTTTGTTTGGACATAGTAAGTTTTTTAAATTTGCCCTTTGTAGCCCTTTTAATCTTCACATTTTCCTTTTCGGCACATCCCTATATAATCTTCTTATCTCTTTCTAAGGAAAAAAATTTCTGAATTTAGATGCAAAGTCAAAGTCTGAAATTCATATATAGACGGAGGGAGGACAAGGGAAGTGAAGTAATGAAGCACAGATGGCGACAACAAAATAAATGACAGTAAGACACACTTACCATTCTTAAGTAGTCATCAACGAAATGTTTAGGGTAGTCCCGAGCTGCTCCAAAGTCAATGAGATTGATTGATTGTGTTGACTCATCATAAAGAAAATTGCTCCAGTTGGGATCTGTCTGCTTTGATCAATTTCAACAAGATGTGAGCACACAATGACAAGATGGAAAATAATTGAGGTTAAAAAACAAACCATGCATACAACAAGGAATTGGAAAACAATGAAAAATCAAACAGAAAGAAACAGACTTCTTAGTGTTCTTCATTATCCATTTAATGAAAATGAACGGTGTACAGGCCCGCCCATTAGTGTTTTTTATATTGTTCAAGTTGAAGAGTCATTTTTGGGATTTTTCAAAGTGAAATGATACAAGTATACAACTGGTCGAGGGCTTTTTGATGTTTTACAAAATGAGTTAAAATCTCTCTCTTGATATAGATAATGTGCGACATCAAGGCTATGACAACGGATCAAATATGAAAGGAAAGCATTAAGGGGTTCAAAACAAAACTTTTAGACATCAATCCTAGATCTTTGTATACTCCATGTGGTTGTCATAGCCTTAATTTAACATTATGTGATATGGCTAATGATTCTGGTAAAGCTAAAGATTTTTTTTGGAATTATCCAACGCATCTACACAACTTTTGCGAATTGTACTAAACGATGGCATATTTTGATAGATAATGTTAAAGGCTTAACTCTTAAATCACTATCTTCCACTCGTTAGGAGAGTCGTATAGATAGTGTTAAAGCTATAAGGTTTCATATGTCAGATATATGGGAAGCTTAACTTCAAGTTCATGAAAGTGATAAAGATTCAAAAATAAAAAGTGAAGCTAAATCTTTAGCAGAAAAGAACCTTGGTGATTTTGAATTTATAATGGCATTAGTAATTTGGTATGAAGTATTATATGCTGTTAATGTAGTTAGCAAACAACTACAATCAAGAGACATGCTTATTGATGTTGCTATTGAAAAAATAAAGGGATTGATATCTTTTTTAACAAGTACAGACAAAATGGATTTTCTGATTCCTTAAAAACTGCTAGAGAAATTGCTGTTGAAAAGAAGATTAATCCAATGTTTCCGGAAAGGCATAAAACTCAAAGAAAAAAACATTTTGATGAAAATCCAAGTGATTTATGAGCTACAGAATCACAATCTGAAGAAGAATCATTTAGGATTAATTATTTCCTTTACATTGTTGATGAAGCAATTTGTTCACTAACTTCAAGGTTTGAACAATATCAACAATATGAAAATATTTTTGGTTTCTTGTTTACTTCTGACAAGTTGCATTCATTAGAAGATCAAAGCTTAAAGGCTTGTTGTAGCAATCTTGAAATGTCCCTTAAACATGCCGAACAATCAGATTTTGATGGGAATGATTTATATGCTGAGCTAAAACTGCTGCAACATTTCTTACCAAAAGAAAAAATGGAAGCTATTTATATTTTAAAATGTTTAAAATGTCTTGGCAGCTTTCCTAATGAAGCTATTGCTTATAGAATTTTGTTAACTATTCCTGTGACTGTTGCATCTGCAGAAAGAAGTTTTTCGAACTTGAAGTTATTGAAGTCTTATATGCGATCTACCATGTCACAAGAAAGACTCAATGGATTGGCTTTAATAAATATAGAGAGTGATCTTTTGAATAATATTGCTTACCAAGATGTAATTGAAGCTTTTGTTTCAAGCAATGTTAGAAGAATAGCTCTTTTTAAGTAGTTTGTATAATTCGAAGTGTAAGAAAAGTGTTGTAATATGTACTTCGTTCTCTTTCAAAAAAAATCTAAAAGTATTATTTTATGACCTTGAATCACTGCTTTTCTATATATCCTAGGGCCTTGAATTACTGAATTGCACAGGGCCACCCTAAATGAATGGGCGGCACTGATGGTGTAGTTGACTAGGTGAGAGAGTAAAGCATGCTCAAGAGCGAAAGGATATGATGTGCTACGCAACTCATTTTATTGTAAAGCCGTTAAGTTGAGTACTAACTCGTTGGCAGCAGCAACTGGTCTTGGAGATGGAAGGCCGGATGGTGAAGGACTCGTGGTCTTGATCATGCCAATGAGAGTCTGAGACACACTCAGAGCTGAGGTGGTGGAGGCAGCGGCCACTTGGTTGGATAGTAAAGAGTTGGACGGCACAAGTTCAAGCTCAAGAATTGTTTGCCAATGAGACATCTGGTCTAAGTGTGAAGGATGAAGGGTAATTGTCTTTTCACTCTTTTGAGTTTTGACATTTGGCCAAATATTGAATGTCAACGTGGGGTGAGTTAGTCTTTTACTGGGAGTGCTTAACTTCCTTTTATGTGACTACAAGAAAAAAAGATAATCTCTTGGCTGGGCAGAAGTCGTTGGGCTGGAGGGTGATAACAGTATCCTCCCTTGTTGTTTTCTGTTTTCTCTGTTCACCTTGTTGCATTCCCTTTATGGCCTTTAACAAGAGGAGCGACATCCAACAGGGCTCTTGGATAGTTCTCTCTGGAGACTCAATCTATCATTCTTTTCACTTATTAATTTAGAGAATTGATATCCACTCTTTTGTTTTTGGATAAATACACTCCCTTTCAACTTTTTCTTTAAATAGGGACTAGAATGCTCTCCTCTTTTCTATCTTTTTCTTTTTTTTGTATGGTTCTGTCAAATTTATTCTTGTTACACTCAAGCACTATTCCCAATTTTTTCATTCTACAAGCTTTCTTTAAAAAACACCAACTCTTGATTCTTCTTAACTATTCCTTGCAAGTTTAGTGATCAATAATGATGAATGGATGATACCAATAATCATGATAAAGAAGTGTATTCCTTTGACGATTTATAGATGAAATAAGTTTCAAGACGTGTGATTAGAAAATCTATTGAGCAAATTCTAGAACTCTACAAAGATTTCAATGCATATGAAATGAAGGTAATAAGTTATCTAATACAACCTCTCTCCACCAAGGGTTACACCAAGGGTTACACCAAGGGCATGCGCTTAGCCCATTCTTATTCGCCGTGGTGATGGATGTCCTGACACTGGGAGTTCAAAGGGAGGTCCCGTAGTGCATGCTTTTTCCTAACGATATTGTGCTTATCGATGACACACGCGAGAGACTAAACGACAAGTAAGAACTTTGCGCCTTTCACTACAATCCAAAAGATTTAAGCGGAGTAGGACCAACGCTGAATACTTGGAATGTGTTTTTAGTGGCCGGGAGAAGGAAGCAAGAGTGGAAGTAAGGATTGAGTCTCAAACTCTCACCTAGTGCCCAAGGTAGACAAGTTTCGGTATTTTGGCTCGTTTATTTAGGCAGATGAGGAGTTAGACGGGGATGTTTCGCATCGTGTTGGAGCGGTTTGGGCTAAGTGGAGGTTGGCTTCAGGGGTGTTGTGCAATAAGATTCGACTAGGATCCTGGCATGTTAAGAAAACCCCTGTTTGCGAGCTACATGCGGCTGAGATGCGGATGTTACCTTGGATGAGCGGTGATGGATAGGACTCGGAACGAGGTTATCCGAGGACGGGTGGGCGTGGCACCAGTAAAAGATAAGCTTCGAGAAGTTAGGTTGAGGTGGTTTGGACATGTAAGACGACAGAGTGCTAATGCTCTAGTGCAGAGATGCGACAGATTTACGTTGGTGGGTGGGAGTAGGGGAAGGGTTAGACCTAAAAACAATTGGAAGGAGGTGATTAGATAGGACCTAGGACTTCTTGCTCTTACTACTGATATGGCCTTAGATAGGAGTGTTTGGAAAGCTAGGATTAGGGTAGTTGGGTAGGCATTTCAGGCTAGGTGATAGTTGATGCATTCTTTCTTGTATGCTTTGTAGTGCTTTCCTTTGTTAACTTTAGTTTGCCTTGTCTCTTTGTTCTTTGAGCTCTCTCAACTTTATGTGCCCCTGTGATCTTTTATTATTGGTGTTGCATGAGCCAGGGGTCTCTTGGAAACAACCTCTCTACTTCTGCGTACACACATCCTCCCCAAACATACAATCGTAGGATCCAACCGGGTTGTTGTATTATTTGCACCCTTAAATATATGGATATTTGTGATGTGGTTTTATCTTATAACTTTAATGCTAAACTATAATCTAATCTGGTTCACTAAAAGAGACAAATAAACAATTTAAGAAACTATAGCTGGTATCACTTTAGAATTTGAACAGACGAAGAATGAAAATGACTATTCTCAAGTTTATATTAGCCATTTATTTATTTCACCATGCTAAGGGTAGGAAAAAGATTGTTATGTGTTCTCATAGGCTGGGGTGTAATTATTATCCCTCTTTGTTATTGAAAGATGTTGCAACTCAAAACTACTACCTTAACATTTTTCAATGCAACAAGATTCCAGAAAAGTGTTTTTTTACTAAGGTTGCACATTCTCGAGGCAAAATTCTCAACACGTCTTCAAATATATTTTCTATACAGAATTACCTAATATATTTTCTATTAGGTTTGCATTTAAAAATGGGAACAATAATGGATATCCTAACAATGCACCAATGCTTCAACATAAAATGTCAATCCCTAATAAATCTTATTACTTATAACACCATTAGGTTTGTCAATCTATGTCCATGAATTGTGTGCCTTATATAAGAATGTATTCATAATTGATTTGATGCACGAGGTCCAAACCTATATATGTGATTAAAAGGTGACCAGACATGTGAGGGACTCAATGACAAGATGAAGTTGTGGCATCAGTCCCTGAAATCCAAAGGCTTTAGACTAAGCGGGATTAAGACTACATACAGGGAATACTGCTTCAATGGTCAGGTTACGGAATCGGATGTGAAAGTTAGGATTGACCCACACCTAGTGCATAAGCAAGACAAGTTTTGGTGTCATGGTTCGGTATTTCTGATGGATAGAGAGAGACAAGGATGTTCATCATACTGGAGCCGCTTGGGCGAAGTAGAAGCTGGCTTTAGGGGTCTTATGCGACAAGATTTCGGAAATGATGAAAGGAAAAGTCTATTGTTTCAGACCGGTTGTGCTTTACGGAGCAGAGTGTTGGACAGTCAAGAAAACCCAGGTTTGACAACTACATGCACTAGAAATGTGGATGTTGTGGTGAATGTGTGGCCAAACGAGGTTGGATAAGATTTGGAATGAGGTTATCTAGGGACGGTCGAGAGTGGCGCCTGTGGAGGATAAGCTGCGAAAAGCTAGGTTGAGCTTGTTTGGGCACGTGAAGTAGCGAAGTGCAAAGGCAGAGATGCAAGAGGCTGACAGTAGTGAGCGGGGTGGGGGTAGGGATAGACCTAAGAAGAACTGGAAGGAAGTGATCAGGCATGACCTTACCGAGGATATGTTCTAAGATAGGATTACGATAGTTGGGTAGTTATCTGAGCCTTGGTGGTAGTTTGTGCTCTTGTGCCTGGGCCCTAGGGTCTAGGACTCTAGGTGTTGAGATGATTTGGGTGCTTTTGTCTCTTTATGCTCTTCTTTGTCCATAGTTTCCTTTTGCTTCTTCTTTGTTGGTTTTCCGCGCCTTCTTTGATGCTCGAGCACACACACCCTCCCCAAACCCTGTTTTTGTGGGGTTCTACTAGGTTTGTTGTTGAAGAGGGTCTACAAATGAGAGGGGGGGTATGAAGTTTCAATACATGGTCTGTTGCTAAATAATAGAGCAAGGCGCCTAAAACAAATGAAATGGGAGGGGACTTTTTTAACTTTTGAGACATGAAAATATGACATAGGGAGAAAGTTGACCAACTAGATAGAAGATATCAAAGGAAAACTTGCCTGCATGAACCGAAAGATGAACAACTCCTTCAAAGTAAGTTCAAGCAACTTCCTTCCAACATAGTTACGAGTCTCCTGGTCAAGTAATGATACCTTATCAATTGGAATTCCTGCATAAAAGTAAATGAAACATTCAATTAATAGTGCCCCCACCCCCCACCATAAAAAAATGATACATAATTTGAGAAGGAATTCTATTGAGGATTTAAGAGAGTATCAGTGCCTGGAGTCTCATCATTAACTTTGGTAAAAAGGAAACCTTAGCTCAACATTCAATTACCAGGGACAAGTTCTGAAGTTAATACGCGTTTGCCTGATAAGTCATCTAACACAATTGGAACATAAAAGCCAGTTTCTCCACGCAGAAGATCACGATATAACTTCTGATTTTTTGCTTCTAGTACATAGTCACATTCACGAGAGAGTTCCTCCTTTGCAACCTAGGGAAGGTTTGAGTGCAGAAAAATTTATTGTTTACAAGAATACAGCCAATCCAATGAATGATGAGAATTCTAAGACTTGTGAGAAGTGTCAAAACAAAAGAGCGTCCATTAAATACGGAATGCCAGTTACCTTCATAGCATTGTCAATGTACAATTTCTCTGGGATAAGATTAGTATAACTCAAGAGAAGTTTAACATTTTCAATATCACTTTCAATGCTGTCAGCAACACCGGGGTATTGTATTTTCACTGCAACCTCCATATCATCCTTTGTGACAGCCCTATGCACCTAGAATTAGTTAAAATGAAGGTATATAAGGATACCATATTGATCTTCAATTGCTCAAGCGTAGAGGGAATTTTCATAGTGATTTTAGAGTTAAAACTTAGGACTTGTTCAATAGGACTTAATTTCCTTAGTTCGGTTCAAATCAATCCAGTACCTATGAGTTCAATACCATTCAATCCCTACTGATATTATTATTACTAATCTTTTTTTTTTTGAAAAAATTATTATTAATCTTAATATTAATATTTCTACCACTTACTCCATATGTTATTATTATTATTATTATTTAAATTGATGGTGGTGTTGTTGTTATTATTATTATTAAAATCATCATCATTTTTGATGTTGTTTGGTATTCTAAACATTTCACACACAGTTTGCAATGTTTAAGATAAGATCTCATTATTTATTATTGGTATCTGAAATAATATACGTTTGCAATGGGCAAGCATCAAGATGACAATTGACCAGCATAAATGAACAAAAATACAAATTAAAAGCCAATTTATTCATAGAAATATTGATTACTCCATCTGCCTCCAAAAAATTCTTATACACTATTCACAGAATCAAACATTAACCAATTTAATGTTCTATTTACTTATTTCCTAAACTCATTTGATAAAATAATACAATCTTGTCACCTCTTAGCTTGTTTTGTAAAACTTTTGATGCAGTTTTTAAATATATTCTGCTTTTGTCTCAAAGCATACGTTGAGTTTGACTCACCAATTTGATTCTTTTAGTCAAAGTGGACAAACTTTATTCATTTATTACACAAAATTTCTACTGCATATTAATACAATGAAATAAATATTAGAAAGTTTTTGACAAAATAAATCTAATGAAATTATTTTTGTACTAAAATACAATACTCCCTCCGATCATAAATTATCTTCCCACTTTCCTTTTTCATCCGTCCACAAATTATCTTCTCATTTCCTTTTTTAGTAAGTTTTGCATGGTTAAAAGACAAAACTACCCTCATCCACTCCATTTCTTTATCTTTTTCCTTTTTTCTTCCTTCCCACCTCGTCAGCCAACCCTCCCCACTCTTCCTCCTCTTTCCTTCTTTTTCTTTCTTTTCTTCCTCTCTCACTTCCGACTCTATACAGCCACCTCTTTTCTTGTTTTCTTCTTCTTCTTCATCATCTTTTTCTTCTTCTTCTTTGTTCTTCCGTCTTCTTCTTCTTATTTCTTCTTCATTTTTTTGTTTTTCTTCCTTCTTCTTTCGTCAACTAGAAGAAGAATTTTTTTTCAGATCTGGTTGCATCTTCGTCGGATCTAGATTTGGAGGGACAATTTTTTTTATATTTTTCCAGATCTATGGTGGGATGTTGATTTTCTTCCCTAACGAGAAGTCTAAAAATAGATCTTTGAAGGCGGGGGCTTGTGACGGAGAGAGAAGCAAGTTGTGACGGCGAGAGGATGCTAGGCGCTGCGATGCCGGGAGCTTTCGACGGCGGGGGATGCGGAAGCATCATCGGCGGCGGTGCAGAAGCGGCGGCGGCGGCGGTGCAGAAGTGTCGGCATCAGCTGTGGTAGACGGCTCCAGTGGGGTGTACAGGGTAGAAAAGATGAGGGGCATAAAGGGAAAGTCAATACAATTTTCATTCCACCTAAATTTGCGCACCGAGTCAAAGCGGGAAGTTTAATTTTAGACGGAGGGAGTACTATTTTTATTTAATTGATGACCAAAGGTTGAAGTCAAATACTCTAGGATGGAGGTAGCTTTTTTTTTAATTTTACATCGATTTTCACATACATACATACATACATACATACATACATACATACATACATACATACATACATACATACATACATACATACATACATACATACATACATACATAAATACATACATACATACATACATA